TGCCGACGGCCTCGCTGCGACGCGGAGGAGCGGTCGAGCGCGCGTCGGCGACCTGCGCCGGTGGCCTTGCTGCGGTGCGGAGGAGCGGCCGAGCGCGCGGTGGAGACCAGCACCGGTGGCCTTGCTGCGGGCGTTGCAGTCGCTGACATATGGGACCAGGGCGGACACGAGCGGGCGATGGCGGTGGACGAGAGCGTCCGCTTCCGTCCGCTTCGTACCCATTTGTTCCCAGATTTGGGTCAGGTTTGGGTCGGGGACGGACAGCAGGCGGACACGGACGTCCGTTTGGATCGCCCCGTTGGGCCAAGTTTTCTGTCCGGATGACCCAAACGGACAAAATGGGTCCTCCCATTGGAGTTGCTCTTATGTTCTCTCTACTAACCATCATGCTTTTCTCGTCAAATGGCCTTCTCCACCCTCACTCTAGAAAAAGACGTGGTGTGTCTTCCACACCCCTTTGGTTTGCCATTGCTTCGCTCATTCATCACCCCCTCCACTTTACTCGCTCCCTCTTCATCTATAACTCGCCCAAATAACCACATTAATTACTATGTTTACAACGGATGGTGGTCCACTAAGCTCTTCACCTCATGAGATATGTGCGGCGAAGACAGGCGTTCTTCATCCTCTCACCTTAAATCAGTATTCGAATAAAAACCTCAAAGGCCTTGCGGCTTTACTGTAAGCCACGCGTCCGTGGAAGGGAAGCCCGGCGATAGGATCTGCCTCCGGTGTCATGAAAAGCTCTTCTGTTGGATAAGCATCAACTACTCATGATGCTTTTGTCGCATCACGATGAGCCTTTTGGCATTGTGGACAAGAACAAAAAAATTATCCTTTTTGCTAGGAAAACACTCAGATAAGAATGAGAAGAAAAAATCATTGTTATCTCTTTTCTTATATGCTAAAATGGACAAAAGTAGTGAACAATAGTACATCAGTCATTTTGTTGTATGATTTTGAATCCAGTTTGTTTCCAAATGCATGTACAAATGTCTTGTTGCATCGTATCATAAATTTTGATTGAATTTGACCGGGCTATTAAAATGTAAAACATGCCACAAATGGTTTGTTGTGACTTGTGAGCTAAGAATACAAAATTCAAATGGCAAACAAGCACTTCAAATACCAATTTGATACATCATGCAAATAGTCATAAAACGTTCGAGTAAGTATGAAGACTCCACAACAATACCCCCATAGTCTTGTGACAAAGCCATATACATTCAAGAGGGCTCTATCTATCGCCAAATATGAACAATATTAAAACTTAAATTGAACTTAGCATGCCAAATCCAAATAACTGCAAAATCCCATTTTGTGATTAGAGAACAAACTACCCATTGGAGAAAAAAGACAAAGTTTACCTCTTATGGAGAATGACCTACACCACAACCTTGTTCATGGGATTCATGGGTATGGTCAGACTTGGCAGAAATTGGTGGAAGTTGTCAAGTACGTTTGTAAACCCCGCCTACATTCAAAATAAGTTTTAAATATAACAAATGCAATTCCCCTTGAATGTAGTCACATAAGACACCACATGTTCGGTGCCACTGCCCAATGACTTGTCAAGCTGACATCACAAGCCAAATAAGCTCACATATTCGACACTACTAGCCACACATTTGTCACACTGGCTTTGCAAGCCATGAAACGATGATAGAAACCACCGCCGTCAAGTGCGGCCACACATATTGTTCATGTGCATGCAACAGGTTATGCATGGTATAATAACCAACTCATCCTCATCACAAAGTTGGCACGCACATACCTTTTGCCGACTTGGATGTAGGATGGGCGGTATTTCCTAGCTACGAGACGCTTTAAGTGGAGATAACCGCGGGACCGAAGAAGAAGTTCTTAGATGATGGGGTAAGTGATGTGTGATGACCTAACATGAATACATGGTTTCCTCAGACCCGTGTCTCCATGGCCAGTCATGAAATGTGAAAACGGGACGATGGCATGACGGCACAGCTGGGTCTACAACGAAACATCTAGCCGCCCACTATGCACTGACGCGGCTGCCTCGTAGCCCCAAAGGGGCTCCATCATCGTCCTTTTGCGGTACCAACATTCAAGAAGCAAGGGGAGAGGGACGCAACTGCACGCGGGAACTAGATAGAGGGATATAACAACCAAGGGCGATGACGGCTGGCGTGAGGGTGGAGCCATCGTGGCTAGACCGAGGATCGTGGCAGATCAAGGGCCACTACATGGAAACGGAACGCGATCATTGATTGCTCTTGGTTGGAAAACCATATTGCGATGGCAACTACAAACTGATGCATGCGCGGACCAGCTAGGGAGAGGGGATGCCCGTTCGCATGATCTAGGAGCGGTTTTCCTATACGACTGCCATTTAGAAAAGGCATCAATCAAACCAACGTCTTTTCTCAAATACGCACGAGCATGCGTATCATTCATTAAAGAGGAGGGGGAAGAAGGGAAGAACCCCGAAGTAACCAATGTACACTGTGTATTTACATGCCGGCTATTCCGACACTACCAAGAAAACGAGAAAAGCTACTAGCCCGGAGCTGCCCACCTAACTACCTCTGCATTTTGGGCCACCTTGCCAAACAAGCCTGCCTTGGTCCAGGCCTCCCATTCATCCATGATCCGCTGCTTGAGGAGAGCTACTGATGGCGTTATACCATTGAACACCACGTCGTTCATGTGCTTCCAGAGCATCCAAAAGACTAGAAGAGAGGTTGCTCTTGTAGTTTTCAGGTTTGTGGCCAGTAGGTCCTGCCTGATACCATCAAACCAACGTCTTTATTGCACGTCGCGGGCTCACGGGGTTTTATAAAAGCCCGTGAATCTGTTATCTTGGGGTTTATGAAGAGCGGCGAGGATGAGGTGTGAAACCATGAATAAACCACCACCACCGGTTTCATGAATACTCCCTCCGTCCGTAAACATAAGTCTTTCTAGAGATTCCGATATGGATTACATATGGAGCAAAATGAGTGAATCTACACTCTGAACTACGTCTATATACATCCATATTAAAATCTTTAAAAAATATTTATATTTAGGAATAGTAGTAGAGTAGTAAATACCATGGTCCATGGCACAGGCCAAAGCTGTGTAGTGTACCATGTGTCCCATACTACCTGAATCTGTATTGTGGGGTTGACTGAAGTTTCTGAAGCCGGTGGGCAGAAGGTGCGGCAGGCCCACAGTTTCAACGCCATAAAACCACACGGGTCACGGGCGGTGGGGCGACGCGATGGGAATATTTTATTTTATTTTATTTCCCTTCCTCGCCGAGGAGAACCAGGAAAAAAAAATTAGTGTTAGCTCCAACCCGTAACGCCAGTCCTTTCTCCCCCCGCGGCGATCGCCGGAGAGGAGAGGAGCGGAGGGGATGGACGCGGCGGCGCCGTCGCGGCGCGCGGGGCCGAGGCGGGACAGGCCCCTCATCCCGCCCAACTACGTCAGCCTCCGGGACCTCCAGGAGCTCCGCCTCAAGGAGCAGGCCGAGCGGCGGCGGCGCCAGGAGGAGGAGGAGGCCGCCGCCAGGAGGGAGGCCGAGCAGGAGGAGGAGGAGCGGCGGCTGCGGAAGGAGGCGGAGGAGCAGGCCGCCGCGAGGAGGGCCAAGGAGGAGGAGGCCGTGGCGGCGAGGAGGGTTAGGGATGCGGCGGCGGCGGCGGAGATGAAGGGCTCCTCCTCCTCGTCGCGTGCCCCCTTCAGGTATAATGAGAGGCCCCGCGCAGGGCCACGCGGGGAGGGTTCGGCCCTGAATAGTGGTGGCGCCGCGGGAGGCAGCAAGGGGCCGGGCGGCGACGCGGCCGATGGAACCCTAGGCGGCGGAGGTGGAGGCAGGGCGCGGGATGAGGGGAAGGGCAAGGCCTCTGCGGGCTTGATTGCCGGCGACCCAGCCGAGACAGCTACCAGCGGCAAGCCGAACGAGAAGAGCAATGGGGAGGCCTCTGGATGTCAGGGCACCGCATTGGGGACGAGCAGCGTGCCAGGCGAGCTGGCCGAGGTGGACACTGCTTCATACCGAGGCGGCGTCAAGCCGAGGTACAAGAACAAGGGGAAGAAGGGTTTCGATGGCCGGAGCACAGAGACAGCCATGACCGGCTCTTTGGTTGAGGTGGTGAAGGCATCGCCACCGCGAGTCGTTGATTCGGAGAACAAGGGGAATGCTGGATCGAGTAATCAGAGCACTGGAAAAGCTTCGGCAAGCTCACAGGGCGAGGCAGCTGAGGATTCACCACTGCAGGGAGTCAAGTCGGATAACAAGTGGAATAAGAAGAACAAACCCTCAGGAGGAAGGCAGGCGGGCGCACCACCGAGCGGCGATTGGCCGAACAGGAGGAGGGACCAGCCTCGTCCGTCCGCTGAGGGTAGCCGCGGCCGGAGGAATGGCGATGGTCAAGGAGCCGTATGGGAAGTAAAATCCGATGGCCTTGGGGGAAAGCAGCCGGAGGTGGAGGGGAAGGCCCACTCGCATCTGCCCACTGAGAGCAGCAGTAACAGAAGGAGGGGCAGTGGTCAAGGAATGACCAGGAAGGGAAAATTTGAAGACTCTGGGGAGAAGGAGCTGGTGGTTGAGATGAGGGCGCATCCGCATCCAGCTGCTGACAGCAGTAGCTATCAAAGCAGCAGCGGTGATCAAGGAATGGCCGGGAAGGCAAGATCTGAGGACTTCGGGGATAAGCAGCCGGTGGGAAGGAGCAGCGGTGATCAAGGGATGAACCAGGAGGCAAAATCTGAGCGCTTCGAGGAGAAGCAGTCGGCTGTGGAGATGAGAGCTGTAAAGACCTACCGTGGGCAGCGGCCTGGCGGTTGCAGCCGAGTGAATGGCACCACAAGGCAGCCCGGCAGCATCTGGGTTCCAAAGGCTGCTGCTGTCCCAGTCCGCACCGAAGTCGGAAACATTCCATAGACAGGAAGTATATATAGTAGTAATATGTGGCAAGATGTGCCAGTGGTAGATTTTCGACAAATGAAGGTGCTAAATCCTATTTATAAATAGGAAGTGCATGTAGAATGTAGGTGCCCATGTAGGGCCGGCGGGCTTTGAGATTGCCAAATTGGTTTGCCAGACTTTGATATTTGCTAGATTGGTTCTGCGGTAATAAAAATATTGTAATCTCTGTAGATTCCTGCTGTAATTAAATCATTGCAATATTTTGGTGGAATTTGCACAAGATCCTTGCATTCCAAACATATTGCATAAACAAAAAGGCATGGCATTGCAGGTGAGGATGGTGAATTGGAATTGACTTGTATGTGCAGTACATTCACTGATCATTGTGAAATTTACTGACTGATGCAGAGTTCAACTCTGAAAACTGAAGCATGTTTCCTCATTTCAATTCCTCATGTTACTTAGCGAGTGGCGCCGCAAGGCAGCACTGCGGCATCTGGCTGCCCATGGTTACTGCTGTGCTGGTCCGTTACGAAGTCGGAAACTTTCCATAGACGGGAAGTATATTTAGTACTAATATATGTGGTAACATGTGCCAGTGGTAGATTTTCAAGTAATGAAGGTGCTAGATCTTTTTTATAAATATTAAGTGCATGTAGAATATAGGCGTCCATGTAGGGTTTGTGGGCTTTGAAATTGTCAAATTGGTTTGCTGGACTTAGCTATTGCCAGATTGGTTTTAGAGTAATATTGTAATCTCTGTAGATTCCTTCTGCAATTAAATCATTGTCATTTTTGTGTGAAACTGGCACAAGATTCTTGGGTTCCAAACAGATCGCATAAACAAAAAGGCATGGAATTGCAGGTGAGGATGGTGAACTAGAATTAACTGATTTACTGACTGATGCATGTTTCCTCAATTCAATTCCTCATGAAACCTATACATTCTGCTGTTTCTGGTTTTACTGACTGATACCTGTTTCCTCAATCCAATTCCTCATGGAAGGTATACATCTGCTGTTGCCAGTCAGCGATAAAATCAAGCTACAAGGTGTTTGTGTTCTGCTATGTTTGTGTTCTGCTATTTCAAATCAGAGACAAGACAAAAGCAAAAGGGTTAAACTGGTGTAGAAGCATTGCTAGCTCCCCTTGGTTGATATGAGAGTATCCTCATCCGAATATCACAGTGAGTATGCTGCATTTCTCATCCAAAATGTTTTGCATGCTAGAATCAAAACATCACATATTGCTGCATATACTGATGATCCCCTGAATCACCGTCTAATTTCTACTTCCCATCGCTTCATCCTCGCACTGTTACCTCCCCTAAAGCGAGGGGAAGTACCTGCTCATACCATATGGTAGAGCGTAGAACTCCTCGCTTCTGCCGTCATGCCTGTAGGACTTGAATTTCTCCAACCACAGCCAGCCCCTGTCCCTCCTCACATGGGGTTCCCAGTAGAGGTGTGTGCAATCGAGAAGGTAGGCAAGTATGGCAGCAACAGTCGCGGGCGAGGAGAATATCACGTTGACAATGACATTGAACTGAAATTTCAATGAATAAGATGGTGTAGGTAGTGATCAGTGTGAAAGTTATATTTATAATAACTAGGTTGTGTCACCCTGTAGTTGAGTCTACATACCGCTAGTGAACGTGTGTGAGCTGGTCCAAAGCCGTAGAATGTCTCAAACTCCCGGAAGTACTGTGGTATAGATAGCCCCAGGAACAAGGAGATGCCGAGTATAAACTTGCTTCTCCGGGTGTTAAGGTTGCAGTATTGAAGGAAGCAGAGGCCTGCAGCAGCTGTTTCAGGCAGAAAACAAGATCAACAAAATAAAAATGTTATGAACATTCGAGGATTTGATTCCATAAAATTCTGGTGGATTGTTATGTAATGCTCACCTGAATAAGCAAAGAGAACACAGTAGAGTGCAGAGAAAATTGGCAATGGGATAGATGCAAGAATTGCCCCAAATTTTCCTGTTGATTGTTAAGCCATGTCACCCAAATTAAGTCGCTGACTATAAATGGTGATCACTGATCACTGATAGCGCTGAAAGATTCAGAGAATAGGATCACTACCAAACAGCGAGAAGAAGATCATGAACAAAGCTGAAATCTTGATGACTCGTCTGCTTCCAACTCGCGTCAAGGCCAGTAGACCGCAGTTCTCACTACACAATATAACAATGACAATCAGTTAGATATTTCATTTAGGTGATTTCTGAGCAATGATTCTTAGCAGGCTAAAGTACTAGAGTAGATGTAGAGCTCATTACACTGAAGCTGCTGTGCCTGTCAACGTACCGCACATCCCATCTAGTATGATAGATATACCCTGATAGTTTGGAAGTTGCTTAGCAGTGAGTGTGCTGGAAGCAAAATATTCACGAGAAAATTCAAGCATTTAGTCGTGTTATTCAAGTACCTGCCAGCCAATTCCACGAGCGAAAACTGAAGGCGGGACGAATGTCGCGCCTGCGTATCTTGACACTGCGATTAGTGTGCCAGTAGACTGAAAGTAAAATTGTTCATCAGACTAAACCCAAGAAATTCCTTGCACCTAATGCTACTCTGTTTTGCAGAATTGCGGCGATCCGATACAGTCCCAGTCTCACTGAAGTGCAGAACTGAAGATGTGTATGTACCTCAATAAGCGAAGCGAAGGAAGCGGCCATCATGGCGAAGCAGTCTTGCGCGCAGAAGATGGGGTATCCCCACTGGAACGGGTAAGGGAACCTGACCCTGCTCATGGCAGAAGCAACAGGATGCGTATGTCAGTGAGCCACTCCAAGGAGCATGAAGACTAGGCAGTAAGGCTTCAGAGTCAGAGGCCATACCAGGGCGCGGCATGGATGAGGCCGGAGCTGTCGGTGCGGCAGCTGAACTGCGTCACGGGGTTCCTCTCGTCGTATGCGCCGGCCGCCGTCAGTATCTCGGCGAAGATCCACACGATGATCACCGTCACCAGCACCGCGCACCGGCCGAACACGAAGCTCCCTTTGGCAAAGTAATGGGACGCGTACTGCAAGGGCAAAAGAAGAGAAGGTGGTCAGGAAATGCATTCTCAGTTACAAATCTAGTCTAGAGAAAAACAGACCAATCTCTCATGATACCTCTGAGAATATTAGGAGCAGAACGAGCGTCGGGAGACCGATCTCGATGCATTTGGCGACCTGCAGAACAGCCAAAGTGTGTTGACAGAATTCAGAGACTGAATCAAGAGGGGAACAATCCAAGCAAAAAGCAACAGCGAGTGGCAACAATCATGGCATCAAGAGCTCCTGTCTTTACCCCTGGGAAGGCGAAGTAGAAGAGGCCGAGCGCGGAGAGCGTGACGAAGGGGACAGCGGCGAGGGGGCTCAGGAACCTGGCACGAGAAGCACAAGCAGCGTCAGTGCAACAAGTAACAGAGAGAAGGTATTGATGGGGATCGGAGACGGTGGCGTGAGGCAGCGAGCGAGGAATTGTCGGACAACCTTATGAAGACCCTCCATATGCCGAAGAAGCCGATGACGGCCTGGAAGACGCCGGCGATGATGAGCGCGCCCTGGAGCGACCGCATGGTGTACACAAACCTCTGAAAGAAAACGGCATCGGTCGATCAGTCAGTCAGTCGTGCAGCCGCCAGCTGCTGCGGTGCAGGACCAGGACGGGACGGGACAGAGCAGCAGGGAGAAGTGCAGAAACGGGGGCCGGACCTCGAAAGGGGCGCCGATGAAGAGGATGTATCTTGGGCTGATGATGATGGCGACGGCGGCGTAGATGTAGGTGAAGGAGCCGCCCATGACGGCGGGGAGCCGCGTGCCGAAGTGCACCTGCAGGAGCGTGTTGATCCCGGCCAGGAAGAGGATGGTCTGGATCACGATCGCCTTCTCCTCCTGCAATGCATGCGGCACGAGCTCGGTCGTCAGGACGAGGAGCACAGGGGCACCATGACAGGACGGAAGGGATGGAAGATGAGGCTCACATGGCCGCCGCCCATGATGGGGACGAGGATGGTGGCGATGATGACGGTGGTGCCGAGCATGACCAGGTAGTGCTGGAACGCGACGACCACCGTGGTGACTGCGGCAAGGGAGAAGAAGCAGGGACGTCAGTCAGAACTCGGAAGGAACCACTGGTGAACCGGCCTAGCTACCGGCTGCGGATGAGTGAGCGGCGAGGGCACGCACTCCATGGCGGCGGGCTGGTGATGCAGTAGTCGAGCTCGGCGTACTGCTCCCTGCAGGGGTGCGGCACCAGGTCCTCGGCCTTGACGGGCGACATGGCGCCGGCCGGCCGGCGAGCGGCGAGGAGGGGAAGGCGAAGGGGGCGGGGTCAGTTTACAGTGTAGTGAAGCGGCTGATGGTGGTGGAAGAAACGCAGGCGCGCCTCCATTTATATAGCCGGTGGCCTCTCCCGCTTCCTCTGTCCGTGCGTTTCGTCATGTCGCTGTGCGCTTTACCACGTCTGTGTCGGTGGATGAGCCGCCTCTTCTGTTCTCTTAGTGTCAAAAAAAAAATGTCTTACATCTTGGGACGGAGGGAGTAGTTAATCGTACGAATCGCAGTAACTTTGGAACTGTACGAATTGCAGTGGATTTTTAGTACGAACGATGTCGTTCGCTCCAAGAGGCTCTAGCCAGACGCCCTGCGCCCTTTTCCCTTTTCCTCACACACACCGCTAGAGGCTTGCCATGCTATAAAGAGTTATAAATTGCCACGTTGCACAACGTAGTCGTCGCTAGGTGGTCTACGGATATGGATGTAATTTTTATTATTTCTAGTGTTCGTTGTACTGTCATGATAGGAGATGAATAGATTGCAATTTTTCTCGCAAAAAAAAGAAAGAATTTGTCATGCTGCAGCAAAGGAACTTGCCGTGTGTTCAGTGGTAGAAAAAGATCGCCATGTTATAACCAAAAGATTTACCTTGATACAACAGAGTAAGTCGACACGCATGTTCAGGAGCTGCCATGCTACAGCAGAAAAAAAATGTAATTGTCATGCAATGCAGAGAAGTTGTTGTGCTC